ATTTAATTACTGGTTGTGAGTACGGGGAGGCTCATGAAAATACCTCTTGGTGGGTGCAAACTTGACCACTGTGAGCTACTTCTGACCCTAGCATGTGAGTCTTTTTGGAGTGTTCATTTTCAACCTGACCTCATAGCAAAACATGACCTCATGCGGTCCGCCACATGCGGGGCCTTATTTCAACAGTTCCCGACTGAACTCGCTCGATTCGCAGATTTCACACGTTCGTTTCGTTTCTCCAATGGCAGAGAGACATTGGGTGCAAGTGGATCAGGTGCAGGATCAGTGGCACATGATCGTTGGATTCCTGCGATCAGTGGCAGGGCACGAAGCTTCCTGGAAATCTCAAGTCTGAAATGAGGAATGATCTTCTTCTCGCGTGAAACAGGTACCAGTTGCCAGTTTTGCAAAGCTTCCAGGTTCCGCCTTTGGACTTTGGCTTTCGCTGAGCAGGATGAGTGTGGGGGGGGCCAATGTTAAGGATCCACTGGATCTCTTCAAAAGAGTCCTTGGCCCAGTCTTCCCAGTCGCGGTTTCTTTCTGGAGCTTCTGGTCCCCTGAGCAGTGAAAAGCCTTCTGAGGCCTATCCAACAGAGGTTGAAGAACCCGAACTAGGCTATCCCAGTTCGGTACCCTGCTAGGATCCTAGTTCACTGTCCACCTCTGTTGGATCTGGCCTAAGCAATCTCCCATCTCTGCAGGCGGCGACCGCCTTTTGGGACACGCAGTTCGATTGCCGCCCAGCTGGACGAACGACGGACCGACGGGATCGAGCTAGGACCGGACCAGCGGGCCCGAGATCGAACGGACACGAACGGATCCTCCATGCGGAGCGTCCTACATCATTTCGGACGATCATTTCTCTATCAAATGCCCGGCCAAGTGATTCCAGTGGTCTAAGCACGGAAGGAGAAAAGGCTCGACAGGACGAGGTTTAACCCATTTTCGCCCACACAGTGTAGGACCTCTTGTTCCTACGGCGAAGCACGTCGGTGGTCTAGAATGACCGGCCGCGCGAGGAGTGAGAGTGATCATGTCATGCGGGAAGCTGCGGCTCTTGCTTTCTCGAAAATACCGAAAAGCCTGTAGAAGTACAGTGCTAGCCGCGTTTCGCCTCTTCGAAGAACGGTCACCCTTTGGTTCCATCATTGGTTAGATAGACATTGGAGCTCAGGTAATTAGGGTTTACCTAGAACTTTGATCTAGGTAAGTTCTCGAAGGGTCTTCTTTGTTGAGAAACCTGGGTGAGTCTATCGACCATTCCATATCATTCCCAACTCGTTGCTTATAAATCGTGATTTATTATGCCAGCTGTGTTGATGTATCTTGCTATTCCACGCATCGGCAAAACATGCGGAGCCATGAGCCGTCCTCGAGTCTCCCACTGCGGAGCCATGAGCCAGGCCATTCCCTTGAGACCAGGATCCTACTTTTTAAGTAAATGCATTTTGTTTTGGGGTTCCCCAGTTCCCCCACAAACATTGAGACAGCTGATGCTATGTCTTTGATGGGACATTAAGGAAAACAGCAGTTGATCGGCAATGAAGCGGACTGGGTAGACCGAGCGACACAGACTGGTCTTGCGGTGCATAGCTGCGCACATGCTGTGCACAAACGTGTCTGTTTTGGTCTAGCGGAGCCTAAACACAGCAACCCAATAGTAGGTAGATTGAAGTGTTGCCATGGGTCACTAGTGGTCATGTTCCTTGTTTTGAACATGTGCTCTGAAGTTTTGTTTCTTCCCACTTCTTGCCAGGTTTCCCGTTTTCCTTGCCAGAATCCAGAGTTTTCGTTGAATAAGAGTTTCTTACTACATTCTTGATTCCACCTCAACGTGATCTTCCTGCCATCCAGCCCCTCTGGCAGTCGGGACTGTTTGGAAGAAGTGCCCGAGGTTTGTGTTGCACACGCCTGGGCAATGGCCGGAGCGACTGCTGGGTGTCCCCAGGAGAATCCAAGCACTGTGTGGGGTCGCGGTTTCGACCTTCGTTTTGTTTCCTTTTCTCTTTTTTTGGAAGAGATCATGTGGTCATTGTCTTCCCGAAAGGACGATGCCTTCACATGATCTTGAAATAACGGCTTCAAACGAAGGGGATATGTGGGCTGGTGGAAGGGCACGACTCATTTGACCTGTGGTAACCAGTTTTTGGAACCTGTATCAGGTGTCAGACGCCATGCGCCTTCCACGAAACCCAAGAGATGCTGAACCACGAAAGCCCACCCAGGGTTCGTGCCGGCTCATGACGGGTCAAACCCCCGCGTCACCTTAGATTCCGAGACAGAACACGGAAACCCAAGCCGAGCTTGAACAAGACCAATAGGAACCCCGAGCAGCATCATGCAGCCATATTTTGGTTCACCCAAGGCCCGTGCTGTTCTTGAAGTATGTCGGAGATGTTTACTTTGGGTCCTGGACCGGGCTTGGCTTACCGGTGCGCAGCACCGGTGCGCAGCACTGGCGCGCCCCAGGTATTGTGACCGTCTATGCCTGCAGGCGGCCGGCAACATCCGGTTTGGGTCCAGACTAAGCTGCTTCGCGCGTGTTGGCGAGCAGAGGTTCATTCACAGATTCTGGTCTTCAGAGGTTCTCTCCCCTTCCAATTTGCAGAACCACCTCACCCATGCGGAGCTCGAATCACTCTTCACAGTGCTTCGCTTCGGCGATGCTTCGCTTGGCTCCCCGCCAGCCCGGTCGCCGACCGACCCCCACCGACCCCACCGACCCCACCGATCGATCCCGTTCAGACCAGCGACGACCATGGCAGACCGTGTGTGTATGGCAGGTTTGGTTGGAAAGGGTGGGTGACGGAAGGCTCTGTGCTCGATTTCACCCCTAAAGCTGCAAGTATACGGGATGATGTTTTTGCATATTTTTGCGAAGAGGGTGAGGTTGGAGTAACCGTCAGGCGTGGGCTTACTTTTTAGAGGGGACAGCATGTCCATGTTTTTTTTGCCTACTATAGACAACTACTGTAAATTACCGTATCAATCCGTATCATCTTTCAGTCACTGTATGTCTTAGCCTGCAACAAAAGAATTTGAAGTTGATCGTCCTCCTGAAAAGTTGAGCATCCTTTGAGCATCCAGAATGGGTGAAGGGACCCCGGGAAGGCCTCCTTTGTAGTTTGGGCGGTCCAGAGAAAGCGCCCATCTCGCTCGCCGGCGTGCAGAAACGAGGCGCTTCTGAGCCGTGGCGCGGTTTGAGCCATGCGCGGTTTGAGCCGTGCGCGGTCGGTTGACTCTTCGGAGCCTCGGGCAAAAGAGGCTCTTCCGGTGCCGGTGCGTTCTGCGGCGAGCGCGGTGGAATTGGTGGACCCCGCTGGACGAAAAGCGAGTTGGCTTTGCGCCTGTCTGGGTGCGCATCCGCTGCTCACCCTATACATCCTTCATCATCCTTCCACCCCTATGCAGAGGCAGAGGGATTCCTATACATTTGATCACCCTCCACGATCTCCAGCCACACCCAGACAGGATGCTCCAGGTCTGCTCCGGCTCGCCGGGTCCGTTCCAGGTGCCTCGATCGCAGAGAGCGGTGCAGATCCTGTCGAATCCAGGCCGATCGGATGCTGTTTCGCGAGCGGATCGACGTGGATCGGTGGAAACCCATCCAGGGTCGATCGGTGCGTGGTTTTTTGGGAGCGGTTTTTTGGGAGCATTTGGAAGGTGTCGGGAGCAGCCAGTTTTGGGGATGGAATTGACCATGACGTCTAGGTTGGATCACTGGGAAGGGGCATCAAGGGTGACAAAGAATCGATGCTGTCCCAACTTGGGAGGGTTGGAAACAGCCAGTTCGCAATCTCTGGGGGCGAACGGCAGATGGAATGCTGAAGTAAGCAGAATGGGTAGATAGCAAGTTGATATCGTATGTATGCGCTAGCTGCTCCTCCACGATCGATAGCTGGATTCCTGGGCTCATGTCAGGTGCCTGGGTGTAAAACGGCAGACTCCTACCACTGGGCGAAGAAGTTGATGGTTGCTCCTTTCGGGGCCTCCAGGAAGGTGTCTCCCGAATTCGATACACGACGCACCTCGATCTTTGATACCAGAGGAGAAAGTCAGGTCTGCCGGAGGTCTGCGTAGGGCCCGGGAAAAAGCCAAACCAAGTGGGGCACCTTTTACTTGGGGGCCATTTCTGAGAGTGTTTGAGGAGGACATGGGATTAGGGTGGAACCACTACCAGTAACAGTTGGTAATGAAAAGATTCTAAAAGATTCTCAATGATTCTCACATCCCTAAATTATCCTACACTCCCTGAAACAATCACGGAAGCGGAACGTAGACCTCTGGAAGACCAATTTTCCTCTACAAGGGGGGCCTGTTCAGCTTCCATGATTGTTTGAGGGAGGGTAATTCCTAAATCAATTTTTGGGAAACGCCTTTTCTATCTAACCATCATCATCCGATGTTACTGGTAATGGGATTTGCGGATATACCACCAAATAGGATATCCCGAATATCCCTATGTGTTTCACAGCTCCCGTTAAACAGTCTGTTTCGATTGAAGAGTCTGGTTGGGCGACTTGAAGAGACCGACCAAGTCATGTGATGTTCAGGTTGCTGACCAATTTGTTCATCCTTCAACTTCAACCAGGCATTTTGCTCCTCTCCCTCCAACATGGCAGTGGACAATCCCCCGTTGTAGGGGAAGTTCGTCCTTCAGCAGCCATGTTTGATTGATGGAGAGGGTCCACGTTTGTGGTATCTCACCCACCGTTCATCCTTGAAGCGTCTGGAGACACTCGGAACGATGTGGCCCATTTCGCCGGTCGGTTCCACACACGCTCGCCTCTCGCGGAGCGTGCTGAGGGTCAGACCCGCCAGAATTGCAAATACACGCACAGCTGCACACATTGCATGCCAACTAAAACTAGAGGTAGAGATTCCCACACCCGGGTGAAGGCTGATTTGATTCACACACAGACACCGTCTTTCCAGAAGGCAGACAGGTGAAGGCAATTGGGGGCCCTCATGTTTGGCTGCGTAGCTGCGAATGGTTTCACATGAGTGAGTTGAAATCTCCGCCGTCGCAGGTGACGGACAGGGACGGGGGAGTGGGACCGGAAAACGACGGGGGGCAGGATCTTCCGATGGGGCAGGCGGTCTGGGTTTTAAGGAAAACTGACGGCCATAATGATGGCGCTTGGTTTTCCTTTTTGTTTGGGGGTGAGAGGCAGGAGGTGGTCTTTCTTCCTTTGTGCACAGTGCAACGAAAACACTGCTGAGCTGAAAGCAGGCGAAAGGCCCTCTCAGAAGCAAACCAGCAAGGGTGATAGATGAGTCTAGAATTAGAAAGATTTGTCACCTGACGGGAAGAGGTTGGGGGTGCAATGACTACACGTTGTTGAAGAGGGGTTGATGAAATGAACAAATATGTTTTTTTGCATTTTTTGCAACATACTGTAAAATATATGGTCAACTCACTTGGAACGAAAACAATTTCACTCAAGGAATGGGCTGATTCTCAGTCGATGAATCTCTCATCCAACATTCCTGCAGGACCTGCAGTTGTGCCTCTCAGTTTGGTTTTTTCACAGTTCCAAGTTCCAACACTTCGCCGTTCTAAGTGGTTGCCAGTGACACTTGGCTGTTCTAACAGGCCACACTTCGCTGTTTTAAATGCTTCTCCCCAGTGCTTCTTGCGATTCCTGGGGGTTTACCTGGCTTGCTGCGGAAGCATTGATGGTCTGGGGTCCAAGAGCCCACTCTTAGAGATCCTATTGGACTCTTGTGCAACACATTTTTTGAGCTCCAATCATGGGGAAGGTTCAGGATTGAACATCCTGCTCCCCACAACTATGCAGATGTGCTCCTCTCCATTCCGAGGGACAGAAGCACATCGGCAATCGCTTGCACTACAAGTTTACTCGGCTTTGTACTTTCTACCAATCTGGCGGGGCACCCCAGCAGCCGCTGAAGTTCGGGACAACCTCGAAGAAGGGACGGTCAATTGTGAAAAACACCAATTGCTGGCAGCTTCTGACCTGGATTGCACGTAGTTGGGGCTTCCTGTCATTTTTTTGTGGGGGGTCTATAGTCTGATCATGTCTGATCTACGTGAGTGTGGATGGGTCTGATATGGTCTGATAGTCTTGCTGGAACACCTGACTTTAAGCTGGGGTTTAGAGTTTTTTTCGTTTCCAACTTGGATGGGCCGAATCGGCCCCCCTCCCCCACGACCTTCGACCCCAACACCGACGCTACACGGTCACCGCGCGCGTCGATCCCGAGACCCCGAGACCAGCGCCGGACCTGTCCACTTCTCATCCGGACGTCATGTAGACTCTTGATTCATAAGACCCCCCACAACTGGGTGGATGTCCAATTCAACTGGGTGGGTTTATTCATCAAGAGACTACATGACGTATACTCGCACATCGATGGATACGACCCCCAGGGCGGTGAGGTGAGAATTTCCACCCGCGTGGAGCTTTCGGTTTGCGCATCACTCTCTGCGGCGAGGTACTTGCTCTCGAGGCTTGAACTGCTCATTTGCTCATAGTCGGGATGGCCTACGCCGCTTGGCTTCGGCCGGTCCGCACCGTTACGGGTCGACCCGTGGGGTCTTGGGGCCCTGGGTGTCCCACTTTTTGGTGAACCAAATCGAGATAAATCGATCCCTTCTTGAGATAGTGAACTTATGAATGAAAGACTTCACAGAATGAAGAGCCGGGGAAATAGTCATGTTAACAATTACGGAGGGAATGGAACCATCACCCCGCGAACATATCACTTGCTGTTAAGTCATATATGTTAGAAATCGTTCAGAAGAGGTACATGGCTTGGATCCGGGAAAATGTCCGACACCTGTTACTTGTTTACCAGATGTTCTTCACCAGGAGTTGGCTTCTAGCACATGGGAATGACACACTCCTTTTCGTTTGCTCTTTTTGATCTGGTGTCATTCTCCCAAAGAACTCTTTCTTCAGATTCTGGAGGTGCTTTGCTTCGATGCACAACCACATGGATCATGGGTTGATACGGGTCCATCCACAAACACATTTCGATATGCACCCGACGCCGGGGGTCCGGTACCACTCCGCCAAGCAGTGGTGCCGACATCCGGCTGTAGCTCCGCTGGCTTGTGGCTTGTGGTGGCCGCTTTTGAGCTCGCTCCGCACGAACTGAAGTTCGGCACGGGTTCCATTCAGGTCAACAGCCGGACTTCTTCAAGACGCGGCTGTGCGAAGACTTTCGGCCCCTTGGTTCGAGTGCAACGAACAGCCGGACTTTTGCGAAGATTTCGCCCAAAGACTGCATGGAGCAAGACGGTGGGTTTGGAGGAGTTGTGAGGATGCAGAACCCCTGCAGAGTATGGGAAAGTCCTACGGTACATGGTCCCACATCCTTCTGTGGAGGGCCCAAGGAGATGTGACATCACCAACTCGTCCAGACCCATGCGTCCGTCCACAAGTACGGGCAGGTGAAGATCAATTTTTCATTTTCTTGTACATTTCATTTCTAGCAGGTTTACTGTGAACTGACCACACACTTGAGAAGGTTGCTCCGTGGAGCTTGTCTTCAGGCTATTCTTGGTGAGCATTAGCACTTTAGTGTTACTGCAAGTTAGACCTTGACTGAAAAAAGTGCAGGGTCCGAGCAACAGTATTGTGGAACAAGAGTGCAAGTGAAGTGATTCAAACAATTGGAAAATTTGCAGGTACGTCCAGCTGGCCAAGCTGGATATCCCATTTCACTGGTAGCTTCGTTGGACACTGTCCCAGTGAAATGCTGTGTCCCCCTGCTGCTGTACAAGGTGTAAACTCTGCAAAAGGAAAGAGTAAATCGAAGAAGATCAATAGGGTAGAGCCCCTTGGAAACAGGGGTTGACGCACACAGAAAGCCGAAACCGGCGCATCTAGTGTAGGTTCAAGCAAGCAATCACACTTGAGTAGGTTGCTCCGGGGAGCTTGTCGTCAGGCTAGTCTTGGTGAGCACTAGCACTTTAGTGTTACCGCAAAATTAGACCTTGACTGAAAGGAAGTGCAGGGTCAGATCAACTGTTTTGTTGAACAAGAAAGGCTGCAATGCTGCAGCGCTAACTGTGCATGACCGCTTCGTCTTGCTGACTCCGTCATTTTCTATTTTTCTTTCTCTGTCTTTTCTTTGCTATTTTCCGCCAGGGGGGTGAAGGGGTGTTCGGGCGTGCATTGACTAAACGAGCCTGGTCGCCACCTAACCAGCCTGAAGAAAAGAACAAGACAAACGACAAGGCAAGGAAAGAAGAGAAAGGTGCAGGGGGTGTGGGGGGGGCAGGGCGTGCGTTGACTAAGCAAGCCTGGATCATACCTAAAAAGCCTGAAGGAAGGAACAAAACAAACGAAAAGGCAAGGAAAAACAAGCAAAGGTGCAGGGGGTGCAGGGTAGGGTGGATGCTCTTACGAGCGAACGGCAGTTAGTTGCCCGTAGGCACTGTCCGACAAGCCGAATCGGCGCTTTGTTAAACAGTTGGAACATGGAAACATCTCCGGGGTGAGACATGATTCAGTTGAACTCTGCAGTAAGCTTCAGTAAGAATTCCAGTAAACTCTGCAGTAAGATTCACGTGTACAGGGTGAAACGATTCAGCAAGCTGATTTCGAGCAAGTAAATTCAGTCGGTGGAACTTCAGAAAAATTCAGAGAAATTACTCCTTCTATGAGGAGTGAGAAGGTTCTCTCGGTAACGGCGCCCCGTAGGGTTCACACAGCTTACCACAGTGGGAAGAAGCTGCGAAACACACTTGAGAAGGTTGCTCCGTGGAGCTTGTCTTCAGGCTATTCGCGGTGAGCATTAGCACTTTAGTGTTACTGCAAGTTAGACCTTGACTGAAAAAAGTGCAGGGTCCGAGCAACAGTATTGTTGAACAAGAGTGCAAGTGAAGTGATTCAAACAATTGGAAAATTTGCAGGTACGTCCAGCTGGCCAAGCTGGATATCCCATTTCACTGGTAGCTTCATTGGACACAGTCCCAGTGAAATGCTGTGTCCCTGCTGCTGCTGTACAAGGTGTAAACTCTGCAAAAGGAAAGAGTAAATCGATTAAGATCAATAGGGTAGAGCCCTTGGAAACAGGGGTTGACACACGCACGCAGAAAGCCGAAACCGGCGCATCAAGTGTAGGTTGAAGCAAGCAATCACACTTGAGTAGGTTGCTCCGGGGAGCTTGTCGTCAGGCTAGTCTTGGTGAGCATTAGCACTTTAGTGTTACCGCAAATTAGACCTTGACTGAAAGGAAGTGCAGGGTCAGATCAGGTCAGCGCCTCGTCTGTACACGCGCAAGGTGACTCGTCTGTACACGCGCGTGAGGTGCCTCGTCTGTACACGCGGATGTGCTGCCTCAACCTCACTCTCACTCTCACTCACTCACACTCACTCTCTCACTCACTCTCTCTCTCTCTCTCTCTTCACTCACTCCCTCATTCACTCACTCACGCACTGACTCACTCACTGACTCACTCACTGACTCACTCACTCCTTCTTTCATTCATTCTTTCATTCATTCATTCATTCACTCATTCATTCTTTCACTCATTCATTCATTCATTAACGTGGCCACTTACTTACTTCTTTCTTTGCTGACTTAGTCACTCATGCCTTCACATTTAGAGAAGGATGTTGCCATTTCAACTTGACTCACCCTTTTGTGG